TAGTCCAGTCTAGAGGTTACAAGGGCGCGAGTGACTGTTGTGAGGGCCTCCCGGTTCAGGTAGGGGGGAAAAAGAAGACTTCAATGCAAAGACAACGTTTTGTGATCTCAAAACCAGAAGAATGGCCAACATCAAAATGGCCCTTTTTCTACAATTTGTATTCGGGCTTTCTGTGACTCTCCCGCCCAGCCTTTACAAGCCATGGTTTATTGCTTTGAAGGGTTAGGGCAGTCCCAGTTAATTCGGCTGAAGCCTTCAACTGTGGTTTAGTGCGAAGGGCAAATGAACGAAGGCTGGAAACAGAAGTTGACAATTTAACTGGAAACAGAAAATGACAATTTAACCACCTATGACCCATTCTAACCCTGCACTTGTTGTGAATGTTGGAATGTGGCAAGGGTAAAACTGGGGCTCCGAAGGCCGAATCCAGATATGTTGACTGGCTGGTCCCTCGATGGCAAGAACGGGAAGCTGATTAAACCACGTTAAAGCGGGATTAATGTGCAATTTGTGGAGATCCACTGAGATTCTCTGGAGTTTAAACGATGCCCCCCGAGTCTCATCGCTATGTTAATATGGGGAGGGAGGGTGTTAAAAATCTGTTCGCAGTTCCATGGGTATTTGGGCCAGAAGAAGGCATTCCGCAGCCTTTAAAGATATGCTTTAATTTACTTTTAGGTTTGGCTGGAAATCGCCAAATCACCAAAACCTTTGGGGCCACAAATCAGATATCCTTGCCAATTAATCCCATTTGGGGAGGGGGGGGGTGTCTTCTCCTCCTCTTCCAAAGAGTCAGTTCTTCTTCTTTTTCAACCCCTTCGGAGTTGGAAGCGTTCCCCCATCTTGTCTAATTCTATGTGACATCCATGACCAAAAAATTCTACCTCCAGAACTGGCGGTTTCTCCGGCTTTAATTGAGGACATTTCTTCCTTAATTCTCTTTAATTAGACAAATTGGCTGTGGCCTCCAGCAATGGCAGAGAGGCCCTCACCATGGAAGTCGGGAGGTTAATAGCAGCTAAAAATAGCTCCCGGATAAGGGCCCCCGGGTTGCAACAGGGAGCAAATGACATTCCTTCCTACTAAGGGGTGGAAGGTGGTGGCTTGTGAGGTTCTGGAGGGCACATTGTGTTTGAACCCGATGCGCCTCATTTGGTTGGCTGCCAAGTAAACAGGTCATCTTCCCAAAATATTTAGCAGAATGTTTAGCCAAAGTTGGATCTGGGGGCTTTTTTTGGGGGGGGGAGGGGGGAGGGGGACATCGAGGCAGGATTGGGTAGAGTTCCTCCTACATAGTGTAGAACAAGAGGGCAGGTGAGTAGAAGTTGTTTAAAAGTGCCATCGCAAATAAAAGAAGGAAGGAGAGAGGAGGAGAGAGGAGAAAAGAGAAGGGAAGGAGGAAAAAAGAGGGGAGGGGAAGACAGAGGGAGAGGGAGGGAGGAAGGAAAGAAAGAAAGAAGGAAGAAGAGAGATGAGGGAGTGAAGAAAGGAAGATTAAATACCAGAGCATCTTTCTCCTAGTGTGTACACAGATAATCCTCAACTTATAACAATTCATTTAGTGACCCAAATCCCTGAAAAAAGAGACTTACCACCCTTGTTGACTTACACCCCCATGGTCATGTGATCAAAATTCAGACGCTTGACTCGTATTCAGGACGGTTGCAGTGTCCCAGGGTCACGTGATCATCTATGGCACAACCTTCTGACCAGCACAGTCTTCGCGGAAAGCCAGATTGAGGTAATAACCGTGTCGTTAATAACTGCTTCGCGAACAACTGCAGGGATTCACTTAACAACCGGGGCAAGGAAGGTCACAAAATGTGGGAAAACTCACTTAACAACCGTCTCGCTTAGCAACAGAACCCACTTCTTTCTCCCTGGAGTAAGGAAAGGCAGCCATCGTGTCACCCCTAGTCCTTCTCTTTGTTAGGCTAAACCAGGGGGCCCCAAACTTGGCAACTTTTAAGACTTGTGGACTTCAACTCCCAGAATGCTCCGGCCGGCTCTGCTGGTGATCTCTGTTGTTGATGCAGTCTAGGATTCAAACCAGATCAGACTACAAGGAGCCCTTGATTTACAACGATTCGTTTAGAGACCGTTTTAAGTTACAACAGTACCGGAAAAGGTGACTTACGGCCTTGTTCTGGCCCTTAACGACTGTTGCCGGCATCCCCGTGCGTCACACAATCAAAATGTGGGGGTCCCTGCCCAACTCAGCCCATGATTCACTCTCAGAAATAATGAGAGGAGGATAAAAGTTCTGAGCATTGATAAAGAGGGAAAGGCTGGTCCTCCCAGGAGAATTGTCAGTACTCATTTAGTAGGAGATTTTCAGCAGGAAGGCAGAAAATATGATCACAACCGGTGGCTGGCCAGCCGGGTGATGTAGTTGGCATTTTGCAAACTCCCTGGATTGATTGTTATATTTCGAAGAAGCCCCACTTTGTAACCAAACAACAGTGTTTTCCAGGCGTAGCTTGAAGATGGGCGCCTAGCAGGCTGGGGGATTCTGGGAGTTGAAGTCCACAAGTCTTAAAAGTGGCCGAGGTTGAGACGTCCCGAGCAATGGAACAGAAGTGAGACCAAGTCCTCTTTTATCTCGGCCTTCCTTTGAGAGTTCAGACCTTCACATTTCTGTCTGAAAAGGAGGCCACCAGGAAAAGGAGGCCACCAGGTGCTATCATCGGCCCAGCGGAAGGGCTCCTCTTCCCAGCCGCAACTACTACCCCTCTTCTCTTTGCAAGAGCCGCAAAGGATTGAGAACGGGACAAAGAACCAAACGCTTCAAAGCATCTCCTGAATAGAAAGGCGTCTTTCTCTATCCTGGAGGGTCTATGGGCACTGTGATCAGCCCGGTTGAGATGCAGCATTGCTGCCCAGCGATTTAAAAATTTCTCTCTCTCTCTCTCTCTCTCTCACACACACACACACACACACACACACACACACAGAGGTCCCCAGAGTCAGAGACTGCTGCAGAGATTGTGTCGACAGGAGGCCAGCTGGCTTTAGGTACAAAGGGGGCAGCTTCGCCCTGGGAGAGGAGAAGGCGCTTACAAGACTGTGCCAAGCACGCCGACTGTGCAGGATTGTTTGCAGGACCCTGGACAGCTCCTGCCGGCTTGGGAGGGAGAGGTTGGGAAGTTTACAGAGCACAATTCTGTCTTCTTCTTCTCCTCCTCCTCCTCCTCCCCCCTCTTCTACTACTTCTTCTTTTCTGCCATATCCATCATCGGACATTGGTGATCATGTTGGCAATCCTATTTTTATCAACAACCACACGCAAAAGTGCTGCTGAGTTTTGTCCAAGGCAGTCCCTTCGATTTTGAAGCCATGATGTTCTTCTGCCTGGACCTCGTTTGCCTTCTGAGGGATGTCGTATTTTTCCAGGTGCTGCATCACCTGTCCGAAATATTCTAACTTTCGCTTTTTCGATGATTTCCCTCGGCTTTCCCAGGCGGCTTATCCCCTCCCCATTTCAGCCTTGCAGGGATGAAAAAGGGGGTTCAGGGGAGGGAGGTCCAACTGGAAACGCTCTGCTCTCCTCTCCACCCCACCCATATTTTCCTTTCTGCCTTGAAGTCCTGGGAACGGGGTGACTGGCCACTGGGTTGCCCCTCTGGTTGCCCCCCCTCCCCCCCTTAAAAACCAGCTTTCCAGAGGTATCGTCCTCGGGCCTCACTTGCAAAGGGTCAATTGCAAGGCGATGCGTGTGTGTGTATGTGCGCGTGCTAAGCCGCCTTGGATTTACTGCTCCCACCCGGAGGGGCTCCTTCTGTCTCAAGAGATGCAGAGTGGAGTCCATGCAGAGCAGGGGGGTGGCTGGGGGTCCCGCTATCTGAGCGGTCAAAGTAGCTTCCCCATTCTTGCTTGGTCCCAAAGTCTTGGCCGAGCCTGGAGGAGACACTCTTCGGAGGCGCCACAAGGGGTCACTATCGAGAGAGGGTTGCTCGCGAGACGGAAGTACAGCAACAGACATATTACCCTGCAGACTATAGAGTTAAAAAAAAGTATAGAGTTGCACGCTCAGTTGCTTTCTATTCCTTTCCTCAGGATCACTCAAACTCTCAGAATCCCTCAGGCAGTATGCTTTATGATGGATAGACTGCAACTCCCACAATCCCTCCACCAGCAGGCGTTAAGATAGGGGACTTCAACGCCCAGAATTCCCCAGGCATGCCTAAAGATGGCTAGGGGTTTGAAGTCCACGTATCTTAAAAGTTTCTGAGACTGAGAATCATTGCTCTAGATTTAACGTCTTGCTGCTAGCTGGTAGTTTCTGTTTCTAAAGAGGGCAATGGCATATGTTGGTGTCTGCAGAGAAGTTCCACCAGGACCGAGCCAAAAGTTTACAATGTTTTCCAGCCATGCAGTCTCCCAGTCTGGAAAAGCAGCAGAGAATGGCTCCCCTGCCAATCATTCCTGAAACAGGTGGGTTTCTGGAATGATTGGCATTGCCCAAAATGCCCAAATGAAGAAGAAAGCATCCAGNCTTTCCTACTCTTACATTCCCTCCCATTCTTCCTCTGCCTATGAAAGCTCATTTAAATGGACCTGCATTTATGGGATAAAATGGTGGCTTATTTTCCCTCTTCTGTAAACCTCCAACCCGAATAATTGCAACGAAGGACACAGAAAGAAATGAATTTTAAGTTACCGATTGCCTAAACTAAGGAACATTCCGGGTTTTTTTAATTTGCCAGAATGGATTTTTTCCTGAAAAAATGCCAAGCGCTTCTCCCTTCTTTCCTAGGGCGTCCTGTACGTGGGCTATTCCGAAGGGATTTTGGAGGTCCTGGTGGCCAACTGCAGTGTCTATGCCACCTGTGCCAGCTGCCTGTTGGCACGCGATCCGTACTGCGCCTGGGACGGGCGATTGTGCCGAGCGGTTTGGGAGGACACCAGAAATAGGTGAGCAAGGGGTTGGAGGGAAGCGCCACCTACGAGAGAGCAGAAGAGAAGAGTGTGTGCGTATGAGCCAGTGAGATTTGAACCGCTGAACTGCAGATAACAGACAGCTGAAGTGGCCTGCAGTACTGCACCCTAACCACTGTGCCATCTCGGCTCTTATAAGTAAGCTACAGGGCAGGGAGTCCGTTGAGAGGCTCATTGTGTGTTGCTTGCTCACAATTTGCAGTCGTGCGGAGGAGGCCTTGTTGTGACTCAGCGGTTCCCTCCCTCCCTTCCCTTCTTCCCTTCTAGGACTGACTGGTTGCAGGACGTCGAGCAGGGGAAGGCCGAGGCCACCTGCCAGCGCCAGAGCGGGAAGGGGCGAGCCATGCCAAAGTCGAGGAACGACTCTGATGGAGTCCCGCTGAAAGGTAGAGCGGCAGCAGCGGAGCAGCCGAGGAATGGCGCTTAGCTCAGGCCGGTCCAATCAGCCTCGCGCACCAAGGCTGCCCCAGCGGGTGCCACGAGGCCCTGGCACGCCTCTTCCTGGGCAGAGGAGGAGGGAGGCTGGGCCGGGGAAGAGGGTTTGGCCCCGAGGTCAAAGTTTTTGCCTTTGTTCTCTTTTACTCTCAAAAAGGAAGACCTTGTCTGACTATCTTTGTGCAAGTTCCCTTTGCACCTGGCTTTAAGGCCAAGGGGCGCAGCGCGTGGGTGGGTTTCAGGTGGTTCGGGGCGGTCCCCGCGAACCGATTGGTCGGCAAACCCGGAAGTAAGTAACTTCCGGGAATGCCGAAGGGTCCACCCGCCCGCCCACGTTCCTTACCCGGTTTTGGCAAGTTCTGTGCTTCCACGCATGCGCAGGATGCATACAGCGCCTGCGCGATCCTCCAGGAGCAGCTGGAGCATTGCACAGACGCTAGTACGCATGCGTGCACTGCGCACGTGCACAAGGACGCCGCCGTCCCCGCGAGAAACCCACTCCTGGCGCAGCGGCAGGGAAGGGACAGGGGCCCCGTCTGCCCCTTTGGCAGAACCTGTGACCTGAGGGCCAATCTCTCCGGCCGTAGAGCCACAGGGAGCTTTTTTTAAAGTTGTAAGCTTCCGCACCACTCACCGAAAGGCCTCCACGGAGCACGTTTCCTCCCTCGGGGAGCAGAACTACACCCTCACTCTTGCTTTCCTCCCTTGCAGTGCTGAGCGGCCCCTTCAACTCCATGATGCGGCTGTCCTGCCCGCCGGTCTCTGCCCTGGCCAACTACTCCTGGACCTACCCGGAAGGCAGCCTACCGTCCCAGGAGGGGCTGACCGTCCGAGACCACACTGGCCTGCTTGTCTTCGTGCACAGCCGCACGCTGGGCGAGTACGCCTGCTGGGCCAGCGAGAACGGCTACCGCCATCGTGTGGCCTGGTACGACGTGCGCAGCGACCTGCCCATGGGCGGCGCCAGCAGCGCCAACGGCAGCCCGGAGCACCAGGCGGTGCCCGTGGGGGAATGGCGCTCTTACTGGGTCCAGTTTGTGACTGTGACGGTCCTGCTCTCCATGACCTTGGCAGTGGCCATGGCGCTGGGCTTCTTCTCCTACCACGACAAGCTGAAGGCCAAAACCAAGGTGCAGGGTTGCAGCGTTCCCGAGCCCAGTAGGACTCCCGTGCAGGAGAAGGCCCCCCTCAACGGCAGCCAGAGCCCCCCCGGAGACAGGAACTACCAGTCGCAGGAGGCCACCGACGGGACCAAATCCTGCTGCGTCCAGGTGGAAGGTGGGAGCCGAGCCATGGACACGGACAACAACCGCCTGAACTGCCCCTTGATGAACGGGGAGGAGGCCCGCGCCGTGGAAGCCATTTAACTCGGTTTCCACCGGAGAATTTTGGGGACTCTCGGATGAGCACAAAACGCCTTGCACGATTTGTAGCGTGGCTCCCAAACACGGCTGGGTCACCTCTGGGGTCCGTTTTTAAACGTCGTTCGTTCTCGGTTGTGTTTTTGTACGACGACGCACCAGCTGCAGAACTGATGCCAGGGAATCCGCATGGTTCTTCCTTCCCCACCTCCTTCGTTTCCGTCTTCCCCTGCGAAGCAGCCGCACCTCCACCTGCTTCCTCACAGCCCAATCGGCAAAGATTTGCAGGCAAAGCCAAGGTGGCCCTCGGAGCCTTCTCGCTTGGGGAGCTCCGAGGGGACGAGGGAGGGGAGGGCTGGGCGTCTTCTGAGGAGGAGAATTGGCCGCGCAGGTGGGTGACTGACCCTCTGCCCATCTCCAGAAATTGGGCTGCATTTGTTTTTACTGGAGCAACGTTGCTCAGATTTGTCGACTGGGAGGTGGGTGGATTTCAACTCCCAGAATTCCCCAGCCAGTCGAAGTCCACCCACCTTCTGGTGGCTGAGGTTGAGAAACGCTGCTTTGGGGTCCAGGGATTGTGAGAACCACTCGGAGTCCCCCTTGGTAAGAGAGCCTTTGCCACAGGGTCTCCGCCCGTCTGCTTCCATTTTTGTCCTCCTCCGTCTCTCTCTGCCACGTTCTGCCTTTTGTTCATGGTTTTGGGGCCAAAGAAGCAGCTATGCAAGTGGATCTCCCCCCCCCACTGTTCATCCCCCCCTCCCTCCAGCTTCCCTTGCTCTAGAAGTGCCGTGTGGCCTCCCCCCCCTGGCCTCTCACGCTGCATTCAGACATGACCTTGGCAGCTGCCAAGATCAGAGCCTTGACGCTTCCCAGATGAAAGCTGGTTTTCCCGAAGGCGGGCGGCTCTGCTGCGTTTTTCTCTCCCTCTGCAACTCCCTCAGCCCCCCCCTCGTCTCCCCCACATCTGTTTATCATTTTAAGAATTCAGTTTTTAAAAGGTTTCCTTCGCACCGGTTGTGCCAGTCGAAGGTTCGGCTCCCCTCCAGCCTCTCAATGGCGGTCTCCTGCCCCCTTTCAGTCTGTGCTTTGCCCAGGGTTTTCGGGGAGGGGGCACCGGGGGTGGACTGGGGCTTGATTTTCGTCTTTTCGACAGGCAGCCACACTCCCCGTTTCTCCTCCCTTTCCTTTCATTGTCCGGCTTCTCCAAAATATCTGCTGGGCTGGTGGAGGAGACGGCACAGCGGCATTTTTGAGGGCATCACTCTGGGAGCTGGGATTTTATCTGTGCCTAGATCAGCGTTTTTTCAACCTCTGCGACTTGGTAAGATGGGAGGACTTCAACTCCCAGATTTCCCTAGCCAGCTAGCTGGGGAATTCTGGGAGTTGAAGTCTACCCATTTTAAAGCCAGAGGTCTTAGTTTCTATTTCTAATGGTTGCAGCTGCTGCCCTCTGGTGAATATAATGAGAAGTGCACCTGAGCAGGTATTTGCCGGGCACTGGAGAATTTTACTGCTTGGTCCCCACCGAGGGCACGCAGAATGTATTAATTTCTAATGTTGATAACCCACACCACTTCTTGTTGGTTTCACTTAAGTGTTAGTTGAGTGGAAGACTCTTGGGAGCACCTTCAAGGTTGCAGAACGAGTGGGAGGGAGGGTAGGGGCCTGGGGAAGACCCCCCCCTCACTCCCAAAAGCTATTTCAGACAATATCCTGCCAAAAAACCTGGGTCTGCCCTTCAGTGCCATGCAAGGATTATTGCAAAAAAAAAAAAAAAACAGTTTGTATTTCGTCTGTTTAAAGAGCTACCCTTAAAAATGTGAGGTGTGAAGAGGACCTGGGTTGCAAAAGCAAAAAAAAACAACAACAGGTAGATCAGCTACCCCGGATCCTTATTAAAACACTTGGTGTATGCATGTGTGTGTATGTGTGTGTGTGTGTGTGTGTGTGTGTGTTTCTCCTGTCTCGGTGTGCAAGAGAGTGGTGTGTTTAATTGTGGTATTGGAGCAGCATGCCTCTTCTGAAGAACAAAGTCGGTACTCCGTTCCAGTTTCAAGAAATTATCCGTCTTATCACCTCGCCTGTTTGCCACCCATTTTGAGAAGGAGAAAGAATATATAGAAGGGACTTTTAAAAAGGGGTCAGATTGTTCAGAGGAGGGAAGGGATCTAGGGTGGGGGGGGGTGCGAAGAGCTTCTCCTTTACCCCTATTTGCCAAGGAAGGGCAAAAACGAGCTGCAAAAACGAGAAGGGAGTCACCTGGTGGCAGAGAGAGAGCCTGAATCTCAACTGGATGTAGATGTAAAACTAAAAAAAATATATATTTAAAACTAGAAGAAGGTGGCCGGTTCTTCTCCCGCCTCTCAAAATGTTTGGGTGGAAGAAGTTGGAAGTTCTCGCTGGCCCTTTGTGAGCTGGAGAGGAAAAAGGATTTTTTGCAAGGAGCTGAAAATTGTTTGCTTGGATAATTGAAGTCTAAACACCTCCGTGACTCTCTTGGCCAGAGAAGGAAGGAAGAGCAGTTGTGCCGTGGGAGGCCTCCTTGGTCAAAGGGCCTGCGGGGTTTTTAAAAAGTGCCCATTTTTCAGCTCAATTCCATGGAAAGAAGGGCACATTCATTCACGACTGGCTGTTTGTTGCAATGTTGTTCCTAACCTTGTTTTCTTTTCCTAAAAGAAAAAAAAGATGTAAATCATTGTGTTTATACAAACTATTTTTATTAAAAAGTGTTGTGCGGTTGTTCAATGGCCACTTGTGGCATGACGGTGGCTACTTTGGGGCTCGGCACAAAATTCTCTCCGCAAGGCAAGGAGAAGAGATGCGAATTGGGGAGAAAATTCACCAACATTTCTCATTTATCTGTTCATTTGCTATGCTCACCTCACTATTACAGCGACTGGGCAGTTTACAGCAAACTGGAACTCAGTGGGAGGAGCTTCTGCAAATAAGGGAGGGGCATTTTACAGTTACCAACATTCTCTCTGTGTGGTCTCCTTTTCTTTCTTGCCCAAACAGCAGAAAACGATATTGGTTTCTTAGAAGGATGCTGGTTATCCAGTCCTGCCATGAAATATTTTCCCACTTACAGGCAGTAAATGGACTTGCAACCACAATGGGGCTCAAAACTCATGTTGCTAAGTGAGACAGTTGTTAAGGGAATTTTGCCCCATTTTACGGCCTTTCTTGCCACCGTTAAGTGAATCACTGCACTTGTTAAGTTACTAGTGTGGTTGTTAAATGAACCCAGCTTCCCCACTGACATTGCTTGTTAGAAGGTCGCAAAAGGGGATCACATCACCCCAGGACACTGAAACGGTCATAAATACGAGCCGGTTGCCCAAGGTGTGTTGAGTTTTGATCGTGTGACTGTGGGGATGCCACAACAGCCATCAATGGGAAAAAACGGCCATCACTCGCTTTTTTCAGTAACTTCAAACCATTATTAAACGAATGGTCGTAAGTTGAGGACTACCTGACCTACCACCACAATTTTTGCTGAACTGAAAACGACTCCGCTCCTGTTTCCCCCTCAACCCTTTAAGCCGCTGAGCTGGGCTGAAAAAGGGCTGGCTGAAGCACCCAGTCGGCTTCCTGGATTTGGTCAGCCGCCTTCCTGTGATATTGGGGGAAGATTTAATTGGGGCTGGATTATTTCATGGGTGCCCCTTGACTGGGCTGCCAGTGGGTGCTCTGTGTGTGTGTCTGTGTGTCCCCACTGCCTCTGCAGCAGTCATGTTTCTCCAGGGCCAAGAGCAGGGTAACCTGGCCCTGTTGAACTGTATATCATATCAGAATAGAGCAGGAAGGGGCCTTGGGGGGTCTTCTAGTCGAGCCCCCGGTTCCACCACAAATGCGCGAACGACAAAAGCGTGCCTGACTAAACCGCGGTGACAAAACCGCGCCGACGAATGAGCACTGAAGCGCGCCGACAACAGCGCGCCGACAGAAGTGCGCTGTAACCTTAACCCTAAACCAAACCCTAAACCTAACCCTAAACCTTACCTTAACTTAAATCGTGCTTCTGTCGGCGCGCTGTTGTCGGCACGCTTTTGACATCGCGGTTTTAGCGCCGCGGTTTTGTCAGCACGCTTTTGACGTTTGCACATTTGTTGGGTCACGGAGCCCCCTGCTCCAGCAGGAGACCGATACCATTTCAGACAGGCGTCTGTCCCGTCTCTTCTTAAAAACATCCACTGATGAAGCCCCCACAACGTCTCAAGACATCCTCCGTCCCACTGGTTAGATTGTCCTCACTGTTAGGAAGTTTCTCCTTATTTCCAGGTTGATTCTTTCTCTCTCTCTCGGGATTAGTTTCCATCCATTGTTTCTTGCCTTGCCTTCCGGGGCTTTGGAGAATAGCTCGACCCCTTCCTCTTCTTTGGGGCAGCCCCTCAAGTATAAGGTGACCAGACGTCCCGCTTTTTAATAATTTGTCCCGCGGCGTTTTTAAAAAGTCCCGATTTTTGTAGAAAGGGTGCCCCGCCCCTTTTTTGGCTCCACCACGTGGCTTCCTCTTGCAAACATCTTCACTCATTTTTCCAGGTCTATCTTTATAGGCTAGTGGCTGTGCGCCGGGAGGGCGGCCTGTGGGGCTGGGTGGCGGCTGCACGCTGCCGAGCACTAGCAGGAGTCGCGGGGCGGGCTGGCCGAGCGGCCTCGCACGCAGCTCGCCTCGCCGCCTGATGGAGGCTGCCCGGCTGCTTTCCCTTCACCCTCCTCCTCCTCACTGCGATCTGGATGCCCGACGCGCCTTCCTTTCCTCCGTGTTCAGCCCTTTTGCACGGAGCCGCAAGATTACCAGCAATGCGGGGTTGCTACGCTAACTGGAAGGCTGCTATCATGTTGTTGCAGAAAATTAAGGGACTCAGACTTTTGGGATCAAAAGAAGCAGCTTTATTTTGGTACCAAGGTTCAGAGCAAGACAGCCAGAGCAGACATCTATACATCTGAACAACCTCCTTATGGAGAAGCAAGTTCTTATTATGTTCCTCAAAAGCAGCCAAGCACGGAAATGTACTACGTCTGCATTAATCGGTCCCATAATCTATAAACTATTGTTACTATGCAAGAAGCAGATAAACATCTTGTTTCCTTCTTATAGCTGACTTGCAAAGAAGCGTTTCCATTGAAGTCTTGGTGGTTGACTGAACTTTTAACTCAACATGCGGCAGGGGTGAATTTGAGGCTTGACGCTTAAATCTTCCTGTTCGTCTACAAGATTTAAAAATCGTTCCTCCTCTCTCTCTTGCTTCATTTCATGTCTCGTCTCACTCTGTTTCACTTTATGCCCTGCCTCAAGGTCATCCTTAATTCTCTTTAGAATGGCCAGGCCCAAATCCTGCAGCCATAAGGTTTAGCCTCCAAGGGCTTTGATCCCCTTAATTGCTCTTCTCTGCACTTTTTCCAAAGCTTCAGCCTCGGTTTCGTAGTCTGGTGGCCAACGGAGGTTGGGGGGCTCCCAGGTGGGCCTTTATAAAGCTGGGTGTAAGCAGTACTAATGTTTCTCAACCTTGGTGACTTTTAAGTCCTGCGGACTTCAACTCCCAGAATCCCCCAGCTGGGGGATTCTGGGAGTTGAAGTCCGCAGGACTTAAAAGTCACCAAGGTTGAGAAACCCTGGTGTAGAGAATTAAAACCAGGTGAAAGGATGAAATAGCCCTTTAAAGCAGAGCCGACGTTTCCCTCCCATGTGGCTGCCGGGGCTGATGGGAGCGGTAGTCCAGCAAGGGGGAGCAAGAACCTCCCTCATTTCCCCCCCCCTTTCCCCTCCCGCGGGGCCTGGAGCGCCCGCCCCGCCGCCTTCAGTGACGCCATCCGCGCGCCGGAAGTGCCGCTCTCTCCTTCCGCCGGCCATCTTTCTCCAGGGCAGCCGAGCAGGAAGCCGGGCGGGAGCGCGGTTGCCCCGATCTAAAGTGGCGGCGGCGAGGAGGAGGAGGAAGAAGAAGAGGAAGGTGGCGGCGGCGGCTGGTCGGTGTTGCTGAACCGGAGCGCTGGCCGGCCCGGAAAGAGAACGCAGCCTCCGGGCAGGTGAGTCGGGGGACGGAGGCGAGGGCGGAGGGGGGAGTCCCGAGACCCTCGACACGGAAGGCGACACGTGTCTCCGCCGTCACGTGGGGAGCCCCGCACGGCCGGTTGGAGCGGCGCTTCCTCCTGCGGACCAGCCCGATCGAGGCCGCGGGGTCTCCGGGCCCAGGAGCGGCTGCTGGCTACTGCTGGGCGGCTTCCCCTCCGGTGCTTCGGCCGTGCTGAGCGCGGGAGGCCGAGGGAACCGGGCCTCCCTTCCCAGAACCCCCCCACCTTCGTTTCCTGCCTTTATTCCGCCTCTGAATAGCTCGGATTCACTTCAAATATTCAGCCAACCCGATGGAGGCGGTTTTTTCCACGTCCAGCCACAATGAGACTGTCGCTGAATGAGACCGTCGTTAAGTGAATTTTGACCCCCCCTCTCTCTTGTCACAGTTGTTAAGTGAATCTCTGTGGCCGTTAATAACGCGAACTCCGGCCTCCCGGCTTTGACTTTGCTTGCCAGGGGGTCGCAGGACTCTGTGACCGTCGTAAGTACGAGTCGGNAAAAAAAAAACTGTTCGGAGAGAAGATAATATATCCAGTTCAGGATGAACTAGAGTCCTTGGCGTTCTCTGACCTTAGCTGTTTGCTTGTAGATATTCAACTAGGTAACCTCATTAGTGCTGATAATGTTACCTAGTATAGTAGTGAAAAGTCTGCAAACATACAAACAAACAAGATCAGAGAACGCCACCAAAAACACCGGAAGATGTTACAGTGGGACACTGGTGAACCTTGGAAAAAAATATCCAGGAACAACCCACCCTCTTATTAATTGACAGCTGCTACTTCATATTAAACATTTTTGTATGTATTTACCCATGTTTGTTTTCCATATTATTTAAAAGTCACCCAAGAAATAATCTTTTTTCCAGAACAGTCCTATCTATGTTTATTTTGAAGATTTTTCTGTTGAGTTCTCTTACTCCCAGGTAATATACGTAGAGTATCAATTTAGAAGTAGCATTTATTTCAGGATCTACTGTGCGACAGATCTAAAATATAAATTCAATTATGGTTTATTTACTGCAAGTGCAGCTAAAATAATTGAGGGGAAAAGTTAGTTAATTATAGACCTTATTACGGTTGTGCTCACACATCAGCCAGATATTTAGATTTGGATTTGGCATTTCTGTCCACTTGTCATATCCTTCCCAAGAACCTGGAATAAGACAGATGTTGTTTAATAATATGAAGGGATCTTTGCAGGAGTGTAAGCTGTTCCAAGTAAAGCTTAGAATTGACCGATGGTGTTATTGTTAGTGCCAATGGTTTTCAGGTAGTGGTCCAGTTATTTTGAGATTGTACCCAAGCAGCCTATTACTAAGAGTACTATTTTGTTCTCCTTTGCCACAATTATTCTACTTCTGTTTGTAGTCTTTATATTTTGTGATTTTCTCCAATTCTTTCTCTTCTATTTTGATGCTTTCCAGGTACTGCAATGTCTACTATTCCAGGCTATCTTGTCTTTCCTGTCAACAATTTTTAAATCTGAAGTGTTGTATCGCAGTTGCTGGTCTGTTTGAATTCTAAAGTCACAGAGTATTTTAGCTTCTTTATTTTTTTTTATTACTTTGTCTCTTTTGAGACCCCACCAGTTTTTGCTTGCAGGTAAATGGTATTTCCTGCAGATATTCCAATGTGCAAATGTTGTTATTTGTTCTTTCCATTGTTTGTGATCAATC